GAATCATAATTAGGCTCCAGCTCCTTTTCATTAACTTCCTCATCACTTGAGCTTTCATCATCCTCAAACAAAGTTTCCACATCTGATTCTAACTCAAAGGCAGCTTCAAAGGAAGATTCTTGGGACTCAAAGAGTTGTTGTCGTAAGGCTGGTTGTCGTGTTGTCCTTGTTCTTGATGAACGTCGGTTGGTTATATTGTTGAGTGGCATCGATTCGTTGCTGCTGATATCGTCGACACGTTGGAAGCTCCCTTGGATCGATGGCGTTGCTGGTGATACTGTTGCTATGGAAGCTCCCTTGGATTGATGGCGTTGCTGGTGATACTGTTGCTGATACTGTTGCTGGAGATTTAGTGTTGCTGATTAGTGAGGATGCTGATTAGTGTTGATGGAGGGGGGGCAAGAAGATGTCAGTTGTTGGAACGAGAAGCGCTCTCACTGGAATTATGGTAGCTTCAGCACACGGTCATGAGGACTCCTCTGTGTCCAACAATTGACAACAAGTTGCCTTCCTGCAATCAGGATGCTGATACAGAGGATGCTGATACGGTGTCCGCTGATACGATTTGCTGATACGAGTCGCTGATAGGAGTCGCTGATAGGAGTCGCTGATACGGAGGATGCTGATAGCGTTGACACGTTTGTAGCTTGCTTGGATCGATAGCTGGTTAGTGTTGCTGAATAGTGTTGCTGATAGTGTTGCTGGTACTGTTGCTGATACTGTTGCTTAATACTGATGCCGATACTAGTGTCGATGGAGGGGGGGGGCAAGAAGATGTCGATTGTCGGAACGAGAAGCACTCTCACTGGAATTATGGTAGCTTCAGCACATGGTTGTGAGGACTCCTATGTGTCCAACAATGGACAACGAGTTGCCTTGCTGCTATCAGCATCATAGAGTATCAGTATTGGTGCAGCATCGGATGTTATTCTAGGTAAATATGTTCATCGAGAATTTATTTCAAGCACTCCGACAGACATCATGACAAAATTTCTATAGAAAAAATGGTGTGTTCCGACAAGATTTCGTGATGTCAGTCGGCGCGCTCTCGACATATTTTACACGGGAAAAAGATGGCCGCTAATCCAAGGTTTAAACCGTACATTGGCTGGCCAACGCTATACGATACTGGAATAACTTCATTATTAAGAAGAAGGGGATCCAGAAGTCTCGGATCAAAAGACCAAAAAGTGTTTTTTCAATTAAAGTTTTCCATATCAGTATTGTAGCATCCTACGTACAAATTAGTACTACCAAATTTTTCGATATAAAAATACTTATTGTTTAAAAGTGAGACAGTTTCAAGTTGCGAACCCTAATGAGGTGTATTATTCTCTCCGTAGAGCATCATACAATTTGTACAGACTCCGGACCTGTCTATACCTCGTTAAGTAGGGTTCGTACCTCGTACTTACTAGTACGTACGAACTCTGCATTCTCATTCATCATTTCTTCGAACTAAACTGTAACTAGTACTACAGTACTAGTAATCCATAGAACCTTCCTGAAGTCATTAGTACTAGCTTTTTGAATTTGAAAATAAGTAAGCAAGCATAAATCAATGATATTCCTTTGGGGATTCYCTTTGTGGTTCGTTTCTTGAATGTCCCATCAATTATGGAATAAGCTGAATGGCATGAAGGATTGAGTTCATAAAAGCCACGTATTCGTCGTTATTTCGTCATACGAAAAAATTAGGTTCGACGATGTGTACTAGTATCATACGGATTGAAAGTACTGTAAAGACGAATAATGTAATCTGTSAGACCCAAACTAATATAACCCCCGGGATAGAACTCAAGAGCACTAGTACTTTAACCCTTCGAAGAATAAGTCGAAAAAGAAAGAAMATGCGATGCGTCATTCTTTGCTGATTGATTCCAACATACAGTACGCTCTTATAGTACTGGTAGTGAAGTAGAAGTCCAACTTACATAATGGTACGAGTACGTACCGTACTTACAAGAAGCTTCGACAAAGCATGCTCGATGATTCTCTCTTATAGTTCTACGTTTCCTTCACTYAAGTTCCGAACGAGAATGTGTCCTGGATTGTAATGTTACAACTTGTACGAGCCGTACATTACGATTTTCAATTAGCAAATTCAAAGAAGAAACAGAAACGGAACAAGAAACTCGCGCTTCGAATTCATTTGAATGGGATATATTGTACAATTACTAGCCAACCAAGTTCTAGGACGGTACTTGACACAAAGTAGTAAGAACGCCCATCTGGAATACAGAACATCATCCGCACTCACAAGAATATACCCCGGCGCTCCTTCAAATAGTTTAGAAACCAAATTCTCCTATTCTCATTGAACGCAAAAGCCGCGGGCTATCATTTCATTTACATTCGTAGAGCAGCTGCCCAGCACCGAAGACCGCTTCGTCCAAAATCCAAATGCCACCTAGAAATACCAATAATACGTCAAATGACTGCAATGTCGAAAGCAGTGTAGATGATTTAACTAAAGAAATTGCGAAACTATGGTGGCCAACAGACGACCACGAGAAGAGTGACCATAGAAGAAAAAATAAGGGAGAAGAATCATTTGTTCCCGACGATACTAAGAGTGATCATACTGGAACCAACTTCAAGGAGGAAAAAGCCATTATGAAAGGCGCAAAATATCTAGGATCTTTGGCCATACACAATTCTATGGAGAAAATTTGGGCAAAAGAATTGTACGAAATGGACCCAAAAGAGCGAGAACAGATCACGAACGAGATTCATGGGGTCGAAAGTAGCCGAACGATRAAAGAATCTCCCGAAATGATCTCCAAAAATATTAAAAAGATGAGGGTTTATATTGACGAAACACTTGAAGATGAACTTGACAATGGAGATAGTATTGTTCCTCCCATAACAAAGCAAGCCTACAAACGAGGTGTATCGTTCGAACCCCCCGAAGGGAAGGATGGAGAACAGCCAGTCCACTATATCCGCACCAAGTCGTTCTTGCTCAAATTTCTGAGAGCAGCCCATTTCGATATCGAGAAGGCAGCCCTACGATACTTTCGATGCCTTGATTTGATGTACAATTTGTTTGGGATCATCGCTCTAAAGAGGCCATTGATGCTATCCGACCTGACGAAACAGGAATTACGGTATCTCAAGACGGGGCAAATGCAGTTGCTACCGAGCCGCGATCGTGCTGGACGACGCATAATTGCCTATTCTGGCTGCGAGATGCGACAGTTTGACGTTCGTGAGAAGTACAGAGTTTKTATGTACATTTACGACGTTTGCTCCGATGACGAGTCCACCCAAAAACTTGGACTTGTTCAGTTGAATTCCCCTAAAGTCCATCCTGGTAACAAACCATTCGGCGAGACGGGTATGGCATTGCGAATGAAAAGACATGAATCACTCGGGGGTCTCACCGAACGGGAATACCACCAGAAGTTCGGCGAAGGGATGCCGCTGCGATTATCAGCCATTCACTTTACCGGTCCAGACACGTTCATTTACCAAATTGGGAAGTCACTGATACTGTTTTTGATAGCAAAGGAAGACCGAAAGATTGTGCGTTTTCATGGAGGATCACAAATCGAATGTAATTACAGCCTAAAGTCTTACGGAATCCTTTCTGATGAGGTCCCAATCACGAACAGTGGGGAAATCAAGACCAAGAATATTGCTAAATTTATTACCGCTCGAAGAGCAATCGAAGAAAAACGATGCCTCTATCAAGAACGACAACAGGTGCAGAAAAGAAAAAGAGAAGACGATACCACCTCAACAACTACAATGCCACCATCACCCGGTGTCGAATGTCCCGAAGTGAACTGTATAATTCTTGGGAACGGAGCCCAATACAATCCTGCGAACCTCGAATTCCGAGATATTCTCAAGTCAATGGAAATCCGACGTGAGGAGATGATTGCTCGGTGCGACACCGACGTTTGCTCGATGAAAGACTTTGTAAACAGTATCATAGACACCGCTCAGTCGCCAGAATATGGCCTCCGCTTCCTCACGATCGATAAGGCAACATCACTATATGTGGATATTGAAGATCCACGGGATCTTTACAACAGGGTGTCACAGGCGTTGCGGGACCAAAGGAAACGCCTACGGGTCCATCGCCTCTTGCCGAGTGAAGAGAAGCCAAAGGGGCAGGATCATGTGGATCAAGAAAATATTTTTTGTGKTGGGAATGGAAGTTCCATGATAGGATGGGAAGCAGCGAAACGAATGGAAAGGATGTCAGGATACGGACCCTTTTGTCAAATGTAAGTAATAGACAATAATATTTCTTTTAAAAAATCGTTTACCTTGCCCAAACCTAGCTACAAAGACTTGATTCTTAGGCGCATACCATTCCAAATCGATAGACCTCCTTTCCACTGGTACGCATTCCATATCTCATACTTGAAAAAAATTGACAGCCGGGGAACTGCCAAAAACTTGCCAGTAGGGGACTTATCACTAATAGTCCTAGTAGTACCATACATTATACATTCAGTGCCTGAAGCTTATGTTGCCAAAAGAAGAAATGCTGCCATTGGCCAAGACTTGTCAGGATGATGTTAGAACAAGGTAAGTCAAGTGTGGCTGCTGAATTCCTCACCAAGGCTGGCCTAGCCAGTAGAACCCTAATAGTAGGTGGTGCTACTAGTACTACTAGTAGATAGTACTAGTAGTAGTAGATACTTGTTAAGGCTACTAGTTGTTAGCATGTACTTCTACTGTACAGCAGTACTAGTAGTACTAGTAGTAGCTAAGAATACTACTACTAGTAGTATTACCATGATAATTGGTGCATGTGGTTGAAGAGTTGCTGCTCCAAACAATGTAGTAACATCACCACCAGCGAGCATGTTTATTTTTCATCATGTTGCTGTTTACTAGTACTTGAGCTATTAGTAGCTCCTACTGTTTCCCCTTGAAAAACACCTAAGAAAGATGAAAGAAAACTTCAGAGCCCCTCCTTCAAAACAATAGGAGTAGCACTAAGGAAACCAATCTGCATACAATTCAGCACCAGCAGGTCTTGTCTGAAGTTGACAGAAATTACATTTCTTTTTCAATACCACCCAGGATAACAATGTGACAATTATGATGGGGAAGAAATAAAAATGCCCACAAGGGAAAATATGTTACTGCTGTACTACTAGTAATTGCCATCTGAAACCACATTTATAAATAGGAGAGATGGCAAATACTATAAAGCTCCACTCTAGTACTAGCTACTASTAGTAGTAGTATTAGAACCATTGTAGCACAGTACTGCATGCTTACAAATATTGCTGCTGTATTACTGCTGCCCACTACTGTCACAGCTCACCATGAGGGCTGCATGCAGTACTACTAGTAGTACCAAGTGAATTGGAAACCAATTGCTTCTATTATTTGCTAGTATGTGTTAACTTTGTTTTTGATTTTGTGACATTGCATACTATGGAACTGTGTGCWTTTATCCTTCATCATGGTACTGCATCATTGTAGGGAAAATTTTCACATCAGTCTCATCATTTCAGCTCAATTTTTCATTACAACGCTCCTTGTTCAAGAGTGAGAAGAAACAACAAGCTCAACATTTGTCAATGCATGCAAAAAGTTGTGTACTATGGTGTGTTTAGATTAGCAGTCTTCCATCTGTCTGTTGCTGGTGGTACTAAAACTCCATCAACTTACTAGTGCAGATCTCCTTCCTAACAGCTCTCAGACTGAATTGTTGGGTGAGCCTTGCTGCTGCAGTTCCATCTTCTTCCTGTAATGCTCTGTGTTGACGATATTGTGGGGCCCAGTGGGCTTCTTTGATCTACAAGAATTGAAAGAAGATTTTTCATTTTGCTACTACTAGTACTTGTACTAGCACTGGCTACTAGTAATTCTTGGAATATTGTAGTAAGAATCTTTGCCTAAAAGGAGATTTGACTGGTGCTGTAACGTCAACCTGAGTCTCCTACAAGTAGTACTASTAGTAGTAGTACAACTATTGGCAAGACACACTTCTTCTACCATTAGTAGTAACTTTCTAGTATTGCTGTTGGTGTGGTGGTTGGTGGTGGTGGTGGTAGTACTAGTAGTTCTTTTCCTCTGGTAATATTAGGAGTGATCACTGGTGGATGTTTCTTGTTCTTTGCCATTCTTCAGACAAGTTTTTAAGTACTACTCCTAGTAGTACTACTACTAGTAGTAGCTATTAGCTACTGGTAGTAGTGCTACTAGCAGCAGTCCTGCTTTCCTTCTTCCCATTATTAAAAACAAGAAGTAAGAAGGAGGACAAGAAACAACAACCACAGCAGGCAGTTGTGATCATGGTTCGCCAGGAGCAGGTCAATCAGCAACTGAGCAGCATGCTGGTGCTGGTGCTGCACCACATCACCATGATTCAGGAGCCAGCATGGTGATTCAGCGGCACCAGCCACCACCACCA